TTCGACCGCAGTAGAGGATATGGAAGTATTTTTGTTTTCCCAGAGTGTGTGCAATGAGAGGGTAACGCTTGTAAAGCAGTGAAGGCTTCGAAGATTATTTATAGCATCATCAGTCAACGACCCACCCCATCTACCTCCCCAAGAAATTGCCTATGGTGGTTCGCAAGTTCCCTCTGCGATTTCGTAATCATATTCGCGTCAAGGCGAACGTAAGTTACATATTCATGTTGAGAAAGCCCCCTTCGTTGTACCACTACACCCTGTGGAAGCAATTTCTGCAAACCTTATCGGTGCAAATTACGATGCGTGGAACGTATACATTTAGGAAAGTTGGACTAAACTTACAGCGATCGCGCTGATTAGTTTTTGGTGTTTAATTGAAAGGAGGAAGTAATTTTTATCTCAAAACACAGCCCAAAGAGACGGTAAGCAAAAGGAGCTGGTGGAGCCACCTCAGAAAACACCGCGTCGTTACTGTCAAAGAAAAACTTCGCAACGGTTAATATTCTTCATCTCTTCGAGTGCTTTCTCCACACTCAAGAGAGATCGTCAGCTATAATCCGCCATCGCTGCTTTTTTTTTTTTTTTCTTTTTGCCATAGCCCAAGACGAAGCCAATCCGCGTAGTATCTAAGTGATTATCGCGGCCGTTCCAAAATCGAGTCACGGATCGCTTACTCGCGATGTCACGTGGCATTACCCGCTGACGTAGGAGAGAGGCTACTATAGGGTAAAATTTGGAACGTAGCCCGAGTCTCAGCTGGGACGGTATTCTGGCAAGCTGGCCCAGAAACGGCCGAAAGAACCCCCCCCCCCCCCCCCCCCCCCCCCATTTCCTTTCCGGCAACGCCTGACCACGGCCGGACTGGAATTGCGCGCTCTCTTTCTCTTCTTGCGGCCTTTGCAATTGGGGCAATCGCCACCTCCCGCCGCGATTCGCGGGTGGCGCTGTCACCTCACCCCTGGTTAACCCCTGGGCTACCCTTTGCCGTTTGCACAGAGCACGTCTGACAGTGTATCTCAGCGCTGTCGCAACTTGCGGCCGAGATTTTTATAACCTTTGACACCTGATCCTAACGTTTAGACCCTCAGCCACTATCTATTGCGCTTCTGATGAGCCCAAAATGGCGAATATTTGACGCACATCTCTAAGACATTCGGGAGTAAAAAGTAGTAACACAGCGAATGCAATTGCGGAAAAACTATGCTCGTCTATACCTCCAGGACTTCTGTTGCAACTCAAGAACAGGAGGAGACGGACCCCTTCTACGTGGAGGAACTTTAAATGATAAATAATTCGTACACTCTCATGAAATATAAGCAGGCCCAATCTCTATTGCCGTGGTCTGCATCATCATTTCATAGACCGCACATGAAGTCGGTCAGCTGCTCTAGACGAGGGTGTAGTAGTCTGTACAATTTTCGCACAGTGCATATAGACCCTTCCCGAAATTCAGTGTCACCTGGTGGTTTGTAAAGCAGTTTAGGTTTTGACATATCAATGGCGGAAATTAACTTGCATCGGCACCGTCACTTTCGCAAGTCAACGAAACACAAGGAATTGTTTATTGTGAGTTCTTTCTCGATCACTTTCAGTTCGATGGTGACCACGAACCTGCATTCAGAACAAAGCTCCAACCCACTCAGATGCCTCGAGAAAATTTTATACACCAAAGTGCTTTAAAGCCGATTGTGTGCCGCCCACAGATTGACTGTATCTGAGTTATTAGAAATAAACGCTTACGCAGCACTTGTGTTCCATTCCTACGTCGCGTCGTACTGACCCCCCGAATGTACAGGCCTCGCAAGATCCGCTTAGGAGTATCTTCAACATCTTCTTTTATCAGTCACTGGAAGGCCGCCATTGGTATGGCAGAGATGCCGTTTCACATTGGATTGGATTGGATTGGATTGGAGTCTGCGGCTCTTCCCTTTGTATCGGGTGATCAACAGCAACGGATACTGGATCTAGCCTGTCGCGCCTCCCGCGACTTCCGCTTCCGCTTGATGTTCCGCTGATCGGTTGCATTCCCTCCGCCGATGCGTCTCCCTCCACCAGACCTCCAGCCGCCTCTTCGTCACGTCTACCGCCGATCGAACGTTCTTTTGTTCTTCCTCTCCTTGTTCTGCACCGATTCGGAAACCGAGTGCTACAGGTAGCACCTCTGTACTTGGGACCGGTACAATGTGCCGGCACTGCAGCACTAGGTGCTCCATCGTCTCGTCGATCTGCCCGCAGAGTGTTCACGTCCTTTCCTGTCCCTCCGTGAACCTGGCCCTCCACACCCGGGTCCGTAATGTGCCCATGCGGGCCTCTGCGAGGAGTCCACTGCCTGTCGAGTTGTCATACCAGGGCTCTTTCCCTATGGCCTCCTTCTCCGCGTAGTACATCGCGAGGGACGGCTTCGCCGCCGCTCCCGCTCTCCATCTCTCCGTCTCCACTGCTCGGATGCCCTTTCTGATTGCCGATTGTGCAATCTGATTGATTGCACAGATGATGATAGCAATCAAAGTGGCCAGACTGAATTTCGGAAAGGGTCTATTACAGCCTAACGTGCTTCCTCGAGGGCTTGTGCACATACCCAGCTGATTTTTCGTTTTTGTACGTGACCGTCTTTGCATGGTTAATCAGGTAAATTCTGAGGAGCCGTTGCCAAAAGAACAACTTACGAAGCTCGAACACCAGCGCAAAGCAGCTCGAAGGGACTCTCCGAGTGGGGTGAAGTGGGGTGAGGTGGTTTCGCCCCTGGCGGCAAGCAAGTGAACTACATACGGAGAAAAAATGCCATGGACTCCCGGGCGATTGCAGAGGCCGTAAGAAGAGAAAGGGAGCGCGCGCTTCCAGTCCGGCCCGTGGCCTGACCAGAGTGACGAGAGCGACGCGTGAGCGCGCGCCCTCGTGAAGAGGCCGCCAACGGCTATCTATTGGCTAATTCGCGTGGTCATTTCCCGGCAAAATATTTTGCCATATCCTCGGCAAGGGAGTTCGCGTGGTCCTGGCGTGTGCAAGCTGTTCGGGTGGCACTTCTCAGGCGTGTGCGGCAATTTACCCGCACAATTTCTTCCCGAGCTCCAAGAGGTCGGGCAGCTTGTCTCCCACACTGTATCCGGTATCATCACATCTGATTGGGGAAAGGGAATCAAACTAATGGCGAATTCGGGTGGTCAGTTGCCGGCGAGAACGAGCCGGCGGAACCGGCAACCAGAAACGCGCCGGCGGCACACCACGTGACCCTCACCACCCGAACAGGAAACGCCAGACGGTGGCAGTTTACTTCGCCTCTTGCCCGCGCGACACCGCTAGCGAGAGCCTGTCGCCGCCGTCACTCATGTCCCAACGACTTGGATTGACTTTCGTAGCGGCTGCTAAAGTTACTTCAGATCAGTTTCGTTCTTTCGTTCATTTTTTTTCTCACTGACCTTCTTTCTCATTTCGGAAGTGACGACACCGGATACAGTCTGGCACCCACTCGCCCGGCCGTTCGGAGCTCGGGCGGAAAAAGCGCCGGAAAGTTGCCGGTGCTTGCCGGAGAACCACCACCCGAACGGTGCGCGCCGGCCAGAAACTGACCACGCGAACACTATTGCCGGTTTTCCGGCAAAATAAGTTGCCGGCGGTTGACCACGCGAATTCGCCATAAAGAATGCTTGCCGAAAGCGGCGAATAGCGGGTTCGAGTGGCAAACGAAGCCATCAAGACAAACACCCATTTGTGCTCCGAGACAAAATAGCGAAAACAACGAAGATAAAGCTAATTTATGTTTCAGAGAAAACCAATATTTTTGGAAGAATTTTTTCAGCTTGCGCAAGGTCAGTTTGCTCTGAGACACGGACTGCATCATACATTAGTTTGTTTTAAGACCGTGTAATAACACGTTATTACGCCGCTGAAAAAAAAATGTATGCATGATGCAGTTCAATACTCAAATACTCATTTCAATTTCAAGGAGGGTGGGCGCAATGAGAAAACTGAGGATTCCACAAACGGCAATGACAATAAACAGAATATGAAAATCGACCCTGGTAAGTCTCCATGGGGCCCTTGTAATATGGCGACAGATCCTCGGAAATCCAAACATAGAAATTTGACGCGTGTGCGGACAGCCCCACACCGATTTATTAATCTGTCTTTCATTTAACTTTATAATTTTAGATCCTCCATGCTGTGGGGACCGTGGTAATGTTAATAATTCGAAAACTATTGCGAAGCCGCTTGTGTTTACATATCTCAAGGGGTCAGATTTTATATTGTTGACACATACAGCGTTCCTATTATACTATAGAATAATAGAGGAAGAAGTTAACAAAGCTCAGGCGCGAACCAGGCAAATAAAAAGGCCAGTTGCCGGCGCTTTGTGTTCGGGTGAAGAGGGTCACGTGGTGCACCGCTGGCGCGTTATTGGTCGCCGGTGCCATCGGCAAAGCTCGCCGGCAATTCACCACCGAATTCGCAATATGAGCCGTTTTGCACAGCCAGTGAAAGAATGGGCATTTCTTTAGCGTTTCTTTTTTTTTTTTTTTTTTTTTGCGGTTACAGACGTCGCCGATTACGCTCCATGGTATAGTTAATGCTTTTCCATTAAAACTGTCTACAGACGAGTGATTTCCCTACACGCCCCCTAGGGGATGTACACCTCCCCCCTCCCTCCCTTGTTTTTCTGGAGGCACCCCCTTAATTCGCAACGACTCCTCTATTCTCAGTGACACCCCCCCCCCCCCCCAACACCGCCCCCCCCCCCCCCCCGCCCCTAAACATTTAGGCACCCCCCTAATTTCAATTCCTAAAAAAAACCCTGCTACATACGTGTTCGAAGCATTCATATGTGTGAAGAGAACATTTTTCAGACATTTTTTAGGCGTGTACGCGGTGATTTCTGTTATTGTGTCTGAAGCGAACCCAGTTTTCTGTATGACGCATTAGTAGTGCACTTGCTGATTCGGGGGAGATCCGTATAGACGATGACGCCACTGACACATTGCACGTTTTTCTTTTATAAAACGTCACATTATGAAAAGCGGCGTTAATAAAAAGAAATGGCCTCTAGGACTTTTTAGAAACATCTGGACGCGTAGGAATAGTTCTGGGACGCGTAAAGTTTTCTCTGCAGGCACTTGCCACATGTCCTCAAGTTCTGTCTCGCGAATGGTGTTGGTGACCATTACCTTCCTCGTTTCGGGTAAAGCAAGAAAAGCTAAACCGATCAAAGTGAACATCACCGCACTTACCGCCATGGCGAGAGCTCGATTAATTGGCGGGTTGGGCCCCGTGATCAAGAGCACTAGCACGCTTCCGCTCCTACCGAACATGGTGCCTAAGGAAAAGCTCGTGGCTCGAAGCACAGTGGGGAATATCTCCAACAAATACACAAATATCGTCATTGAAATCATTTCCAGAACAATTACCTTAATGATAATTGTGACAATGGGCAGGATTCTGTCGTCCTTTTGCCAATCCAGCCAAGTCTGAAAGCCTAGCACGACCGACATGTGTAACATGGCGACGCAAATCATCTTGCGCCGGCTCAGGTAGTGCACGATATACAAGAAAGCTATCGAACCAAGTAGCCGCGCAACTATTAGGGTTATGTGCACCGTCCGGTTTTCTACCAAGGTTTTGTTAAGATTGGTGTCGTAGAGGTGAAGGAGCGTCATGAATGCACTCGAAAAAAGGGTGACGGATCGGAAACGCAGAGAACTGTTCAGGACAAGGTCTAAGGGGCTCGCTTGTTGAACGTTCGTTTGCGTGTTGCCCCTCCGCAACATCACGTACTTGATGTGATTCATCTTGGCCTTCACGTCGTCTAGGGGGTAGCGGTTTACCTTTGCAGCCGAGAGCACTGCGCGCTCGGTACCTTGGATGTCGCCCAAGGCCAGCAGCCAACAAGGAGACTCTTCAATGGCGTAGGAAGCGAACAGGAGGAAGCTTGTCGCCACCATAAGTATCGCTTGAGCCAGCCTCCAGTGTCCACCTACCGCCAGTAAGAGGAATTGGAACAGTGTCAGCCCCGCGGATGTGCACGAGGAGGCAAAGGAGCAGAAGACGACGCGATGCGTTGTCTCCGTCACCTCGAACAGCAGAACTGCCGCCATGTTCAAAACCGTCAAAGATGTCGCCGATGTCAGAAAGCGCAAGATGATAAACGTGAACACCGTGTTGGAGACGATTATGGCCGTGCCAGAGGCGACTAGCAGTAACAGCGCGACCACGAAAACCGGTTTGCGGCCAAAGCTGTCCCCGAAGTACCCGATCACGCTCCCGGCGACGGCTCCACCGAAGTATACGAGCGAATGGAGCAAAAGGAGCCGGTGTCTGTGGCAAACCAGGTTCCACTCGCTGATGATGGACTTCCCCGTGGTCGCCAGAGCGTAGTCCCACTCGTCGCAGAAGACCACGGTTTGGTTCTCCGTCGCATTTCCCGCGTCCAGTGGAGGCTCGTAGCGGGTGCATTTGCTGAACGTGCCGTCCGGTTCCACGGGGATGCTCTGATTCTTCCAGACGTCGGTCGGCATGTAAGCTAGCTCCGGCGGTGGCCTGCACCAGTGTTCGATGGACTGTGCGAATACCACGGTAACGAGACTGTCGCTTACTGCGATGAAGATGGAAATCGTGGTGCACAGCAGTGCCAGTTGTTGGAAAGTGCCATGTCCGAAAATAAGCGCTGCGTCTAATGCGGCAGTTTGGGCGCTGGCGGTGCAGGCTTTTGTCAGAAGAAACGAGCCCTTCATCTTGAGATGCGTCTGGGCAAAGCGTAGAGTCGAATGAAGAACACGCGATCTTAAAATGCTCGCGATGCTCGTTCCCTGACATGCTTCTGGCGCTCGAGCTCGAGCCAGTATAGACGCTTTGCACGCGCGCCAGATTATATCCGCCATTTCTGACCTCTTGTTTTACCGATATAATGAGCCACTGAAACGGGCGGTTACGAGCCTCTCAAATGATAATGCTGGGAGAAGGACAAGGTAGAATATATAATACCAATAACCTGGCCTGCAATGATAATATTGAAGTGAAGCGAACGGAAGAAGAGGAAATAAAAGCTGAAGGGCGGTTATAACGGCGCCCATTCAGGGCTGCCGCGAAGCGTCTCTATCGTTCTTGCTCAGTGACGCTACCGGAAGTAAACTTTTTTATTGGTGCGGTGAACTAGAATATAAAATCTTATATTTCACTCTACTATTAACGACGGGATTGTAGCGTTGCAAGTGGGCTGAAAAAACAGAGCGCTTCCGCGGCGGGCAGAATAAGAATCGGGCAGCCATTCCCATTCCCTGGCTTTATTCTACATCCTCTTCTTCGTCCCCGCCGCTATATACGGTGGTGACGCGCAAACATAAAATCTACATGACTACATCACTTCCCCCGACAAGCAAAGAAATAAACAGAGCGAAACGCTTTTCAGGAGCTGACGGAGTCCCTGGGTCTTGTAGGAGGGTACCTTGTACGGACCGGTCGTGCTGTTCCGGATAGATCAGGGCCAGGGGCTTCAACTAGAGCCACTCTAGCTTCAACGAATCGCTGGTTTCTTTCGTCCTCCTCCACGTCGAGCTGTTGTTCAACTTCCGGAGTCGGACGTGGTCCTTCACTGGATCTTTGAGCTTCGTTGGGTTGCAGGTCTCGTCTCTCCCCCACGTCGATGTGTTGCAAAATGTTCAGCTTCCTGGTGAGGGTGAGGATGACGCGTATTCATGGCGTTTTCTTCCTTTGCATAATCCGCATTGATCAATTCATTATGTACTCTGAGCTTCGCACTCGTGGGTAGAAGTTTGAAAAAACTTGAGTTCCTTCCCTACCGAAAAATCCGGTATAACTTTTCACTATCCGGATTATGGAACCGGAAATTTGTTACTGGAAACCCGAAATCCAGATTGCACACGAAGGAATAATTTCTGAAAACCTAAATTCCAGATAGAGTCCAGATAGAATCCAAATAGATTTCCGGTTCCATAATCCGGATAGCGAAAGGTTATACCGGACTTTTCGGTAGGGTTGTGATCATTTTCTGATCTCTCTGAGCAGTTACCTGCGTCCCCTTTGATTTCGACCACTTTATATGACTGCGGGTCATAAGGAGGAGTGAGCTTGTTCGACGGAGGCTGTCTACAAAGTACCCGATCTCCGACTTCGAGGTTGTGGGGTCTCGGATGTCTGTGTTCATCTGCGTAAATCTTGTGCTTCTTTCGATTTTCGTAATCCTTGTGTTGCCATGCCGGTGCCACGTTGTTAGTGTCTGCGGAATCGGGAAGGAGGCAGCCCATAGGTCTTCCAAAGAGTAGTTCGAAGGGCGTTTTCCCTGTCGTTCATTGAGGTGTTGCCCTATAGCTCCATTAGAAATTCGCTCAATTCCGAAGTCCACGTAGAGTTTTCCAACGCTGTCGTCTGTAGAAACCGTTCAAGTGTGCGCATGAATCGTTCGACCTCACCGTTCGCTTGCGGCCAGCAAGGCGTGATGCGCTGATGGCGACATCCTAGAGAGTCAGCGAAGTTTTTGAAGTCAAGGCTTTGGAATGGAGGCCCGTTATCTGATTTGGCGACCTTAGGAATCCCGAAGGTACTGAAGATCTTCATAAGGTTGGTGATGACAGTTGGGGCCGCTAACGATGATAATACCGCCACGAGGGGTTAGCGTGACGTATCATCCATTAGGACCATTATGTATTTGCCGTTAGGGAAAGGCCCCGCGAAGTCAAGTGAGAGCGCCTCCCAAGGTTGATTTGGCTTCGATGGAATCGCGACGGGGTCATTGTGTTGATGTTGGATGGTTGCCTGACACGCCATACATTTTTTAAGAGTAGTTTGTACCATGCTGTCTAGGTGGGGAAACCATACTTTTCGCTTCGTGATCGCTTTCGTTTTGGAAACGCCCTGGTGCCCAATGTGAGCGAGACATATCGCCTGTTGCTGGAGAGCAGCCGGTAGAACGAGGCAATTTCCTTTCAGTAGTAGGCCGCTGTCCGTCAGAGAGAGCTCGTGCTGTACGGATATAAACTTTCTGAGTGCTGGGTCGTTCCACCTGGCAGGATTGCTGAGGGCAGCGATCACCTTTTGAAAATGAGGGTCGTTCAGAGTGGCGGCAGCTACTTCTGCACGAGTCATGGCTTTGGGAATGTTGTGGTGGGCAATGCAGTTGACATATGCATTAGCGCTATGAGCCAGGCGGGCATCAGCAGAAGAGCTCGGCATGGGATGGCGAGACAGGTAATCCGAGGGGTTGTTGATTCCACACGTGTGCTCCACTCTGAAGTTGTATTGTTGGATTCTCAACACGAGGCGCTCAATTCGTGCAGACGGACACGCCCGTGGGTTGGTGAGGATGGAGACAAGGGGTTTGTGGTCTGTGCGAATGAGAAAGTTGTTACCGTAAAGATACAGATGAAAGTGCCCTGTCCCCCAGACAACTGCAAGCAATTCACGTTCAATCTGAGAGTACCGTGCTTCAGTGGGGGTCAAAACCCGACTAGCATATGCGAAATCTCCGTGTTGTTGCCTTCCTTCTGTGCTAGGATGGCACCAAGGCCAACAGGCGACGCGTCGACCGTGAGAATTATTTCTTTTGTACCATCAAAAAAGACAAGGTTGGGGATCTCAGACAGCTTTTCTTCAAGCGTATCCAAAGCACCTTGCTCTTTTGGTCCCCACACCCACTTGGTGTTCTTTCTTGTGAGAAGCCGAAGAGGGTATGTTATATATGCAAGGTTAGGTAGGAACGGTCCGCTGTAATTTACTGTACCAAGCAGACTTCGAACTTCATGAGCGTTGGCAGGGGCCGGCATTTTTTTAGTGCTGCAATCTTCTGGGGGTCTGTTCTGATTCCAGAATCAGAGAAAATGTGACCGAAAAAACAGAGTTCTTTTTGTGCGAAGAGACATTTTCTTGGATTGACTGTGAGGCCGTTCTCTGTCAACCTTTCGAGAGTTGCCTGGAGAGCCTGATCATGCTCATCCTTTGTCTTGCCAAACACAAGTATATCATCACTGATGTTGAGGACGTGAGGTATGCCGTTGAGTACTTGACGGATGGTTTCCTGGAAAACCTCGGCAGCTGCATTAATTCCAAACATAAGTCGTTTGTAGCGGTACAGTTTGTTCTGTGTTGCAAATGTTGTGATTGTTCTCGATTCATTATCAAGTTCTAGTTGGTGGTACCCATCTTTTAAATCAAGCTTGGTGAAGAGTGTTGATCCGTTCAGCGCTGTGATCACGTCTTCGATGGTAGGGCAGACGTGCCTCTCGCGAAGAATGGCCCTATTCACACATTTCATGTCGATGCATAGGCGAATGTCCTCTGGATTGTGCGGCTTTCGCACAATTACGACTGGAGATAACCATGGAGTAGGTCCGGTTGCTTCTTCGATGATATCAAGGGTCAAGAGCTGGCTTATCTTCTCTTCCACTTTGCTTCGGACTGCAAAAGGGTTTCTGCGATGGGGCTGAGCAGCCGGGCCAATGGCTTTGTCAATGTGGAGGTGTACTTGGACGTTTTTTAGTTTGCCTACACCCGCACACAACTCGGGAAAAGCAGCGAGTGGGGTCTCAAGCAAGTTTGGAGGCACTTCTCCACTCGAGCGTGCATCTTTTTGTGAGTGTCCTTGGATGGCGGAAGTGATTTAAATGAGGCCCAGTCTATTTGCAGCAGCGAAGCTCAGCAGTGACTTCACGGTTCCCTCTATTACGAATAAGTCTTCTGTTGTGTCGCTGTCCCTACTTCAGCGTGACACTGAGCTTTCCTATGATTGGTAGCGGAGCATCCGATCCATACGCGTAAATACGCGTGCCTGCCTGTTGGAGTTTTGTGAGTGCTCCAAGCTTGTTAAGGGTAGAGGTTCCAATGACCGATACTGAAGCACCTGTGTCAATAAGGAATATTACATGGGTGTTGTTAACCTGCAGATGAACCTCTGGGAGGTTTTGGTGAGAAATTTGTGATATAGTTCCGACAGCATAAACGCTCTCATCGGAGTCAGAATCATGAGAAATCTGGAAGATAGGCTTGTCTGCTGATTGGCACACCTTGCCATAGTGTCCTCTTCTGCCACATGCTTTGCAAGAGGCAGATTTGGCGGGGCAGTTTACTTGTCCTCCCTCGTGGCGCCAGTAAGCACCGCAGTGGAAACACTGGGGAGGCGAGACGTGGGTGTGTTGTTGTGCGCTGCCTCCATATTTCAGACGGGAAGAGAAGCAGCGAGGTTGTTGCGCATTTCTGGATGTGCCTGCATGGCCGTAGCGGGTTGTCCAGAGATTGCGTGAACCGTGGTGGTTGTTGACGACCCTTCCATGGAGTCGTTGCTTGGTTGACATCCTCGAGGAGTCGAACCTGATTCAAAAGTGATGGAAGGTTAAGGTCTTGTCTTAGGGCTACTCGTCGTAGGCGTGAAGATGTCGTTGCAAATATGATCTGATTCTTGATTTCCTCGTCGGCGTTCGCGAAACCGCAATTGCGGGCAAGCAGTCGAAGCCGGATCGAGAATTGGCCGACAGATTCGCCCTGGAGTTGAGTTGCCTGACGAAATTGAAAGACCTCGAAAGTGGTGTTCATGCGAGGATAGAAGTATGCGTCAAGTTTGTCCTTGAGATATTGGTATGTGTTTCTGGTCGTTACTGAAGGTGTATCAGCGTCTGGCGTCGTACTTGATGTGGGACCACTCTGCTGGTCAGGAAGGGTCTCGGAGTTTTCATGGACATGTTCCCCCGCATAGTGGAGCAGGAGAGAACGCTTGCATGCGTCATTC